TCGCTTAGGCCGTAGGCCAAAAATTAGGCCGATTATTATTACCCTTTGCCAAGACAATTTGGATGTCCACACATTCTAGGATGACTCATCTGTCTCATTCACTTTTTGAAGTACACATAACTCTCGGATTTAAATCCGAGGTTTCCGCATTTATTTATTCATTGGTTAAGCTAAAACCTTTAGGATGTTGTATTGTGTCTGAAACTTGTCTATGGATAAAACTTTAGATGGAAATCTTATAATGAAGGTTTCTGAAAGGATGTTTCCTAGAGAAGGAAAATTTCAATATAAGAATGTCATAGTAACAGAAAAACTGATTTTCCGAATATCGATGATCTTAACGAGAGTAGTTTTGTTGTGAAAGTGTCAGATCTTTTGATTCGGTTCTATCTTGAAATTCGAATATTAAATCATCTAGTTTACGTGAGCGGTCTACAAGACACACTATCAATTCGAAATTTGAAGATCATTTTTTCTGTTAACACAACATTCATTTAAAAATATTCTTTTAATTTAGTTTTTATTAAATCTTCAAATGTTTCTTCACAAGTATCATTAAATAATTCTTTAACTTATATTCATACAATAAGTATTCGACAATCGATAATTTATTTTATTTGGTTCATGTTATGCATCAAGTATAAATAGTGCAATACGAGAGTAAAATAAACAAAAAAAAAAAATGAATTTGATCCCCAGGTCGAATTCACCCTGTCGAATCCGATAGAAATTCGCCGGAATTTGTCGGAATCCTAACCACAGGATTCCGACAAGTGGTTCTGGATGTCGGAAAGTGTCGGAGTTTCAGGGATTTCGCAGGATCCTGATTATTCCGACATCCGGAACCTCCTGTCGGAATCCTGTGGCTAGGACGCCGACAACTTCCGACGAGTTCCCGTCGGATCCGTTAAAATCCGGTAATTTTTCCGATGTAATCCGATATAATCCGACGTAATCCGATATAATCCGACGTAATCCGACAGTCGGATCGAATCACCTGGGATATCTATTCTGTTTTTTTGTTTTCTATTTTAGAGTTTTTATTGAACTAAAAAAAAATTAGTCTTAAAAAATATATTAATACAAATGAAAGTGATTTTCAAGCTGCTGTACTCGATTTACTTGTTCAATTACTTTTAATTCGTGTTAATTATGATTAATTAGAAGCTGATGACATTCATTGCATTTCTAATCGTTTCGTTTATTTTTAAATAGCATATTATTTATTGTATTGCTGAATTTCTTGTTATGTTATCACATGATACACTTCATTCAAAACGAGTTATTAAAATACAAGATTTAATAAAACATTATGATTCATTATTAGCAAGTGGACATGAATCTGAAACACATGGTAGGAAGCAAAAAAAAACATTTTCGAGGGTGTGAATTTGTAGATGTAATTTTTCTCCTCGATTGAACCCACACCCACACTTCAA